AGTTTAGCCTTTTATTTCTTTCTTTGTACACACACACACACGTATGTGTGTGTATGTGTAATGCATGAACACAGAAAATCTGTATTTCTGGTCCTTAGAGTAAATTGCTGGGTGCTGAAGGTGCAGTCTCCTGTCTGGTTCGAGTGTGTTCTGCCTGAATTTGCACAGTCCGCTAGAGGAGGAAAATCATGCCGTACTAAAGCTTGGCAGCCGGGACTGAGCAGCGTGATTTTCACGCAGACTGACAAGGCCTGTCCTTAACAAAAGCTCATCTTACTCCTTTTGGACGCAGGTTACTGGGTGTGCCTTGCGGTGCTCACATTACTCTTGGACTTTCTGACTTCTCAGGTCAGAAGTGGGGAAAAGCTGTGGCGATAGCAGCTGGATACCGTTTCCTTGTGGCATCAAACATGAAATGCTGCTGGGTGTAGAGAGGCATCTTCATGTTGTGGTCATCAGAGCTGTAGTTAATGTTGGGTGTTTTGTTCTTTGTCATTGAGCCTCAGCTTCAGTCTCCCTTGGGATGTATGGAGAAGCTTCTGAGTTCTTATTCAGGCTCTGTGTCAATCCAAGTGGCTATCTCTGCAGCAGTTGCACCTTAACTGTCTTTCTGACGGTTTTGTTACAGCTGAAATTTGCGGAGATTTTGCTTTCTGTTTTTAAATAAAATCTGACAATTAATGAACAAAGGTGGCACCCCTCCAGAAAGATGATTGCCAAGTTTCTGTAGCATGGCCTGGCGTGCTGGTGACATGGCTTACAAAATCTGTCTCGAATGGCTCTGTCTCCAGTCTCCTGAACGTGGTGTTGAAGTACCGTGTCCCTCCGTGTATACTTGCACACATCAGTTATACTATCCTCTGTGCTTCTGCTTTGTCTGAAAGGAAGGTTGTTAGGAAAGGATTTCTTACGGCATTTCTCTCATTTTCTTCTGGAGGTGATGCCTGAGCTCCGTGTGCCAGTTCCTCATTTCTTGACAGGAATTCTGCAGGAACCAGTAAATTATTTTAGAGGTTCTCCCATTAGAATTGGGAGCATGTCTTGCAAGTATCCCAACAATTATAGGAAGGTGAGAGAAAGAATTTACTTGGGGGAGGTGTGCCTTCGGTGGCAGATCAGGAGTCCGGAGTGGGGTGTCCACAAGACTTTAGCCGCAGTTGGTTTGCCGCAGGTGGGGTGGAGCAGGTCGAAAGGAGTGATCCCCAGTTCTGGCTGTCCTCGCAGCTGTGCTGGTGGAAAAGCTGCTGTGAAGGAAGGAGGCGAAGTTTATGGAAAGAATTAAGAAACCTTCCTGCTGCTCTCTGTTGAGTTGTGTCTGTGCATCTTAATCTCAGCTGCCGTTTCCTCTTTCCCATAGGCCGTAGGGGATGGTTGTTGTATGTCAGGGTATAGCTTGTATAAATACCAGTGTAAGCTGTTGTGGAGAGCCACATGGCTGCACGGTTTGTTTTTGCAGTCACTGAAGTTTCCGACTGCTTTTCATGTCCAGGATATGACAAGTACTGCTGTAAGACGGATGAATCTCAAAACACCAGTGACATAAATTTGCATCGGGTTCCTCCCTTCTGGTTACAGCCCGGAGATTCGTGTGGTTTACTTGTTTGACCTCCCCAGACAGCTGAACTTCTGGCATAACTGGAAGTTTCATCAGCTGGCTTCCTGGATGTTACTGATAAACAGTTTTCTGTTAAGCCTGGCTACTGAGTTGGAGCACCAACTTCCTCCCATCACCCACGATAGATGAATTTGGTTTTAATGGTGATTTTCATATCTGATTGAAACTATTATTGTAATTATTTGTTCCTTAAGAGTCAGTTAGTACTGTGCTTCTCTTCCCAAAATGAAGTTTATTGGTTATTTTCATAACCATTACTATTTCAGGAGATGGAGGGAACGAGGGGGTGATCTAAAGTCATAGTGAGGCCTGTTTATTTCAGTGCACAAAAAAAAAAAGGAAAAAAACCCTGAGTAAACCAGTAATGAGCCAGTAAGTTTTTGAGGAAGAAACTTGTCAGCTAGTGCATTATCTTTTTCCTCTCCAGTTGCAGATCTGTACACTGCTATGTATTATGATCTTACCCTGCCCTTCCTTTTGTTTTTCATTAACTACTTTGACCTAAATCACAGTTGTTAAAGACTGCAGAGCGAGTGTTTCCTCCTTCTCTTCACATAGTAGTCGTAGCACGAAAGGTCTCTGGTTTACCTCATAGCAATAGTGGTTTGTTCTACTGGAGATGTGTATTGCGCCATTGGAAAGACACTGTTACTTGTCCTTGACTTGAGAAACAAGAAAATTTTTCTTAAGCTTGTATTTTCATATGAAAAGTTTTAATTCGTGTGAAATGGCATTTTCTGTTTTTGATCTGGAAAAATGATCCCAATCGGGGAAGTAGTAGAATTGTTATAATAACGTGTTATCTAATAGGTTTTTTTCATACTGAATTTATCTAATGTCTACTTCAGTTGCTGAGAACTGTGAAAGTGTCTTTTAAAAGGGTGTGCAGTGGTGGCCTTGAGTAGAGTATGTTACTTGGCATGTAATCTTCTTTTTTTTCTTTTTTTTACTTGAGTGTTCTTCTCTGAGACAGAAAAATGAGAAAAATGGCAGTCTGGAATGTTCCACTGCAGTAACTCTGTGCTTAGGAATTGTGTGGCTGCTTTGCTGGGGGGGACTTACAACTTTGGAAATCTGTTTTAATCATGCAGAATTGATTGGGATGGCCAGGACGCATACAAAAATAATTTTCGTAAAAGTGCAGGAATTTGTACAGTAAAACAGAATACTTTGTTTTTAAACACTGGATGTAACTGGATATATACTTGGAAGATTCTTCTGATGTTGAGTTTATATATGTTAGGTCCTTAAGCATTTATCCTAACAATGCCCAAAACCTTTACTTCTAATACCCCTCTGCTGTTGTATGTTTTCCATTCAGGAAAATGTAAGGGAAAATTTAGTTTTGTGAAAGTATAAATCAGATTTATTGTACCGTTTTAAGTATATGCAAGTGATAGATTTATTTTTGCTTAATAATTGCTTGGACTGTTACTGAAGGTTTGGATCAGATAAAATAGAGCTCTTGGTATATACTCAAAAGGACAAATAAACTGTTGCAGGGAGAAAAGAGTCAATTTGTTGAATGAAGGGACTGTATCCTGGGAGGGATGGGGGCAGAATCTGGTCCTGTGTCCAAAGAACACCCAGTGTTCTGGTGTGGTTCTCATATGGCAAGGTACAGTGACGGTATCTTTTTCCAGCTAACACAGCTTTCACGTTACCAGCTGTTAGTGTGATATATCCTATGTGAGAAGGAAAACATGAAAAGAACTGGGTGGCAGTTTTCAACCTGGATTTGGAAACAATGGGAATTTGTGTGTGCATTTGTAATGGTGATTAAAAAATGGAGAGAGGTTTTGTGTGAGTGTATGCACCCACATATGCTTTTGTTTAGTGGGTTTTTTTTGCTGTTGCCTTACTGTTTAAGTGCCCCATTTATGCACTTTACCACATTTTATTCTTTTATGCCTCATCCCAAACTGTAAAGTATTAGGAATTAGTAATTTTCTGGATAGAGATCTACTGTGAAGAGCATCCTGTTGAAAGCCTTCTTTCTTTGGCTGGTTGTGCAGCACTACATACTTACCTAGTCTAGTCCTCATAGGGCAGGCTAGCTTTTTCGGGTTTTAGATGGCTCTGTTTGTGGATTGTGTAGTCTCCTTTGGTTAGCACTGAGATCCAGAGCTGCTTCTAACACTGACCAGTTCATGCAGATCTCTCCAAGCTGTAAAAAAAAAAAAAAAAAGTCTTGTGCATCGAACGTAGTAAAATAACAAAGACTCGTACTACTGTAAAAAATTATTGTCAAAAAAAAAAGAGTTGCTGCAATGTACATCGTGTATCGTAAATTGTGTCTAGTGCATGGAACTTGCTGAGGGGAGGGGGTTTAACAGCAGTTGGGCTTCCTTTGCTGTGGGGCAGATTAACAAATTAATTGTTTGGTGTTGGTGTTCTGGGGTTGAGGAGAGAAATAACACGAAACTAGTGAAAACTACATGCAAGCTCTGATAATACCAGTCAGCCATAATGTAACCTCTTATATAGAAAGGGAAATTGATACACTATCTTCAGGGTGTGTATTTTAAATTGCGTATGAGGAGATAACACCAAAGGGCTCCACGGTACAAACCAAAACATTGGCATCCCCTCCCTCCATTTGCAATATCATACATACTCAGCTGCTGTATTGTTTTGGACTGGCACCATGCAGTGTGATATTCCATGCTGAATACGCCTTCCAGTTAAAATCTTTGGCCTGTAGGCTGCTGTTTTGGAGGAGAAGGTGGATAGCAAGGCTGGTTCAAAAGAGGGGCAAGGAAGTCCTGTCTGTGAGCTGTGAGCAAACACCAGTGATTTGCTGTCGGGAAATACCGCGCCGTACTGTGAAAGCGGTAGGCAGGATTAGATCCAGCAACTCACTTAAGCATGAACTGGCTTTTGTTCAAAGATAAAATTTATTTTCACATTCACGTAATTTCTTCTAAAGGTAAGGTCAGGCGTAGGCCTTAACCCTGCACAAAAAAAAAAAAAAAAAGCATCGCGCTTACCGTGCTCTCTGTGTCGTCCTTTTTGCCTTAGCTGTTTATACCACCCAGTTATGGTGAAGTACCTAGAGTTGCCTTTACCTGACATCTGTGCAGGTAATTAGAATGGCCTGAAGAGTTTCTAGGTAATTATCTTTATGCAGCTGAATTTATCTGCAAATCATGTGAGAGCGATACTTGGAATTCAGCCGTGTTGTGCTATTAGCTAGATTCTGAACTAGTATTTTTGGGATTGACTCTAATGGCTTCTATCTCTTACTAGAAGTTAGAGA